CGATATTAGTCACACCGGACATAGCTATGCCTTGCCATGCATCATTCAGGGAATGATTGGAAAAAATATCTTACTTAGGTAGCAGTTCAAGAAGCAGTCGTTCAGCATGCTCCTGCGCTTCTTCCAATTGACTTGTACGTTCCTTTACAAGCTTCTCCAAATTGGTTGTGTACTATAAGCAGAGTCAGTAAAATCAGTTTCACACATCTCACTAGAATAGGCTTCCCGTATAATATACACACTAGGATTACTTGGAAGATCTCACTGCCAGTGATGTTACTGGTGTGCTCCCATAACAGACTAGGAGGGTAGCAAGTCTGCTACTTTCAGATGGTGCCTGCTCAATGTATGTGCGCTACCTCGATGGAGGCTACCCGAACGGTCGCTTACTTACACGCAAAGAGGGGAATACGCTGCGCGCTAGCAGAACAGCGCCAGCACGACGCTACTGAATAATTTTTTGTAATCAACGGATTGGATTCATAAATTGTGACTAAACGCAGTTTTTAACTTCTGAAATCGAGTATTTGAAGAATTTCAAGAGAAATGACCGATTCTGGAATTCATACAGAAACCTTACTTGTTCAAGATTTTTGATCATTTGATCAACCAAACTTCCAGATCTGAAATTATTGCAAAATTTCAGACCAGAAAGAATTTTTTTAGGGCTTTTGGAATACGCTGCGCGCTATACTCTATTCTGTGGTCGATTTCCAACCTACATTTTGAGCGTTGCATCGGTGATTTTGCGTGCCAGTGTCGCATCCGGCCTCTGATCCACAATTCCAGTCCAGCATTTATGCATCAGTGCAAGCAAATCTGGGTGTACTTCAACATTCTCCGGGACAGATGGATAGAGTGGGATTAATGCTTCTGCTGCTTCACAAAATAACCTCGTGTCATCCTCATTTGCTGCTTCGTTATCTGAATCTGTGAAAAATGGGAAGGAAGATAATGATACAATTTTTACAAAACATTGCGTTCTATTTTTAAAAAATTATTTTAAATAATAAAAGTGGAATTTTATGATACAGAACTTTGTTTTAACAAAATTTATTTTTTCAGAAAAATGCTTCACATCTCTAAGGACTGTCGTACAGATATTGAACTGTACAATCCAGAACCGATAATCCTAGCAACAGCTGCCGCTGGGCGTTTGTAA